TTCTAAAAGCACTACATTTTTTCATGTACCCATTACTAATACCAGTTGATATGATCAATCATCCAAAATGCTATGTCAAAACAATTATCATTATTGTTTTGGTTATAGTGGCGAATGCAGCTAGCTACCAGCCTCTAAAGCATATCTCAAGGCACTGCAACTCAAGTGGAAAGTTTAACAAAAGCATGCGCTGGCCAGTTAAGCTGGTATTTAAATGCAACGCTAAAAATGCATTTCACACTCAACTTCATCAATCACCAACCAATCCTACTTTGCATTTTGGCTACCAAAAGAAAATGGGATTTGTTTCCCTGAAGAAATATGTCACTGCTCTGCTTGAATTATTAAGCTTGACTATTACAGAGAGAAACAGAGTCAAAAAAAAAAAAAAAAAAAGAAAAGAAAAGGAAAAAGGAAACAAAACAGACCCAGGTTGCCATCTACAGACTGATACAAGCATTGCTCATTAATACAGCATTTGATAACTGAATAAGTAAATAGCAGCAGTTTAAAAAAAAAGAAAAAATATGTGACTACAGTTTTAATTATTAAAAAAAAATCAAGATAGCCTATGAAGTCTCTTTTTTTCTAATTAAAATGAAAATCGTATATAGGTAAAGAACACTAGATCAAACATTTGTACAAGTTAGCATATGCTAGAAAATAAACATAGATATTCAGCCTAACCCTAAAATTTATTACTTTGAAATAAAACTAAACAGCGTATTTAATATCTGACTTAAAATACATTATAAGTAGGAAAAGATATGTAGATTTTATCTCTAAAACGAATTTTTTGTATTTTTTACATTATTATGAGTTCTTACACCCTTCACTTTCAATTTGCTTCCAATTCTTATCGCTTTTACCTTTCTAAAGAATAAGAACCCTCTTGAAACATGAGTATTCAAAAGCACATACTTGGTTCTAATTACTAAAATAGATGGCATTAAAGTAAAAAGCAACTTTAATAATAAATGAATATGAAGGCTGAATTAAAGAGTAAGAGAGAAAGAGAGAGGGACGTTTGATATTGTAATCAGGAAATTTTCTATAGTCAAAGACATTTGCAGGGAAATCCATTAAGAAAAAAATTGCTCAATTTTCAGTAGTATGGCCTTAAGCTAATATGCTTAAAGTTATCAAGTGATGGTTTAATCTAGTGAACTGCATAAAACTCTTTTTCATTTTTCCTGGGGAAAAAAAAGTCTTTCGAAGCCAAGATTCATTTTCCAAGTTCTATTTTCTTTCTATCCAAATAAAAAGATACCAAATGCTTCTAGATCACTGGTACAAGCCTATTAGTGGGAGAAAAAAATCATTCCCTAAAACCTTCCTTTAAAAGACACCAGCAGTGGTTTCATGTAACAATGAGATCCAGCAGTTTAAAAACCTATAATCTGCACATTAGAAAACCACATTGGAAAACAGAGACTTAAAATGGGCTATTACCTAAAACAACTGCAGGTTTCTCTAAAGACAACATAAAAGAACAGCTGAAGGCTTACACCTTTTCTTTTTAAAATGTTTGCTTCAATGTTAAACATATTTTGTTATCTCCATGCCCACCAAGACAAAATGTTGTTAAATACTACTTGTGAATTTCTGCAAAAGCAAAAAGACCAATAATTCAACTTTATTTATTTATTTATTTATTTTTGGCAGGGTGTCATTTTGTCATGCAGGCTGGAGTGCAGTGCCACAATCATGGCTCACTGCAGCCTCAACCTTCTGGGCTCAAGTGAGCCTCCCATCTCAGACTTCCAAGTAGCTAGGACTACAGGTGCATGTCACTATGACCCACTTTTTTTTTTTTTTTTTTTTTTTTTTGGTAGAGACAGAGTTTGGCTGTGTTGCCCAAGCTGGTCTCACACTCAAGCAATCTGACACCCGCCTTGGCCCCTCAGAGTGCTGAGATTACAGGCATGAGCCACTGTGCCTGCCAAAAATTCAACTTTTTAATGAAGGTTACTTTCCTGTGAACAAGGACTATGTTAATATAGCCTCTTGTGTTCCCAAGGTTTTACAAATGAGATAACCTGAAAAGATGATTGTTCTCTTTCTTCTAAAGACAACTACTTAATTTAAACACTTTAAAAAAAAATCCTGGAAGCAAGGATTGGGATTTCCATAGGCTAAGAAGAACCTCACAGAAAAGCAGCAAAGAACATCTTAGGAATGGCTTTTAACCACAAATAATTCATGAAAAGTTTAAAATGGGTCCTGTTTCATAGTGGGCTTTAAAGTATTACAGACTTAACCATTTTAAACTTCCATTATTCATTCACTCAACATTTATTAAGTGCCTCATATCTATGAGACCTGTGCCAGTTGCTGGGAATAAGAATAAACTACCAGGACATGGCACAAGGCTTTAGGGGCTTCCCAATCTAGTATGTATTAACTTTTGTAAAAGCCTCTCATATTTTTAGTGCTCAAGGTAAGGTATGTTCTTTGAGGCTAATTTTTTTTCCTTGGTTCCTGGTGAACATTTGCTGACTACATTTCACCCTAGCCTCCCTGTTTTCTACTCACTGGAAAGAACTGTACAAATTTAGAGATAATCAAAACTTTAAAGAGACATCTTAATAAGAACGCACATTTTGCAGATATATAATGAAGCTAAAAATAAATAAGTAAATAAAGTTAAATGAGTTGCCCCAGGTCAACGGCAGAACTGGGACGGGAATCTGGGACTCCTGACTTCCAGCTCCTCTCCACGGTTTAGGTCTTCGGTGATTGAGACCCTCCATTCCTCTGTGGAACTGGTTCACCCATTTCGCCTGTTCTTTTAACCCAGCCCCACGCATCTTTGTTCTGACGCTCTAATCATTTGCGCAGCCTCCTCTAAACCCTCGCAGGAGTTCAAACTGTCTCCTCAGCTGGGAAGTTCCTATCAGCTCTAATTCTAAGGTGACTCTTCATCTTGACTTGGAAATAAGCTAGAGCTTCCAGGTGGAACATAGGGCTCTGCTCATGAATCTGAAACCTGATCCCATCAAACCTCTTCCTGGCACCCCTCGCTGTCCCACGGGTGGGGTTTGTAAGGGGATCTCAGGCAGGAGGAGCAGGATTCATTTCACCTCCCACTGGTCTGCTTCCCAGCCAGCCATTCCCACCCCAGTGTCACTCCACTCTGAGAACATGCTCGGAATGAAACCACAAACGGCCCCTCTTCACAAAAACCTACCATCAAAGTTAACATTTTTCATTGCATACTTCCTTAGTCTACCATACTCTTATCTCACACCAATGAAATCTTGGACTAATGCAGTTTTTTATTTTATGTTATACCATCTCTCACCTGCTAGTGCAAGATGAAACTACATCTAATTATGCTGAATATGTTATTGTTTACTGACAAAATTTTATGTCTATTTAGCATTCTCTTAGTTATCAGTGTAATTAACAAAATGACTTTTCAGGAAGGATGATCTGTGACTAATAAATCATAATGAACATGCGCAAGGGTTACAGACACACAAGTAAGAGAGATCAGTGTCACAGTAGTTGTAGGTAAAAAATATAAATCAGGAAGTATCAGTGTGAGCAGAGGATGAGAAAAGCATACTTTTAAAATAATACCACCACAAGATATATTTGTTCTCAAAACAAGTGTCCGCATGGTATAACATCTAATTACAAATAAAAACTAAGCATAAACAACCCCATCAAAATGCGGGTGAAGGATATGAACAAACACTTTTCAAAAGAAGACATTTATGCAGCTAACAAACATAGGAAAAAAGCTCATCCTCACTGGTCATTAGAGAAACGCAAATCAAACCACATTGAGATATCATCTCACACCAGTTAGAATGGCAATCATCAAAAAATCTGAAGACGCCAGATGTTGGAGAGGATGTGAAAAAATAGGAATGTTTTTACACTGTTGGTGGGAGTGTAAATTAGTTCAACCATTGTGGAAGACATTGTGGCAATTCGTCAAGGATCTAGAGATAGAAATACCATTTGACACAGTAATCCCATTACTGGGTATATACCCAAAGGATTATAAATCGTTCTATTATGAAGACACATGCACACGTATGTTCACTGCAACACTGTTTACAATAGCAAAGACTTGGAACCAACCCAAATGTCCATCATCAATAGACTGGATAAAGAAAATGTGGCACATATACACCATGGAATACTATGCAGCCATAAAAAAGGATGAGTTCCGGTCCTTTGCAGAGACATGGATGAATCTAGAAACCATCATTCTCAGCAAACTGACAAGAACAGAAAACCAAATACTGCATGTTCTCACTCATAACTGGGTGCTGAACAATGAGAACACATGGACACAGGGAGGGGAACATCACACACTGGGGTCTGTTGGGGGCTGGGGGTCTAGGGGAGGGATAGCAGTGGGTGGGGAGATTGGGGAGATTAGGAGAAATACCTAATGTAGGTGATGGGGGGATGGAGGCAGCAAGCCACCATGGCATACATATACCTATGTAACAATACTGCAAGATCTGCACAAGTACCCCAGAACTTAAAGTATAATTAAAAAAAAAAAAAAATAAGCAGATCAGGCGCAGTGGCTCACACCTGTAATCCCAGCACTTTGGGAGGCTGAGGCGGGTGGATCACGAGGTCAAGAGATCAAGACCACCCTGGTCAACATGGTGAAACCCCGTCTCTACTAAAAATACAAAAAATTTAGCTGGGCATGGTGGCGCATGCCTGTAATCCCAGCTACTCAGGAGGCTGAGGCAGGAGAATTGCCTGAGCCCAGGAGGCGGAGGTTGCGGTGAGCCGAGATCGCGCCATTGCACTCCAGCCTGGGTAACAAGAGCGAAACTCCATCTCAAAAAAAAAAAAAAAACTAAGCATAAAAACAACAGCATCTCTCGGACACAAATATAATTTTCTTTGAAAACTCTCACGTATGACAATGAGGATTATCTTCTGGGGGCCCAGCGAAACAAATGGATCTATTTAAGAATTAAAATTCTATCACAGCCTTAAGATAATAACAACACACTTACCACTGTTTGGAATGGTTTCTTGTGAATTCTTTAACTTGAAATTTTGTTTCACTTTCGTCAGTTTTTCTGAATTTACCTCTTCTTTTTTCCCTTTCCTCTTCAAGGGCTGAGGAGATACGTTGTCACTGGATCCAACTGTTGACTTAGATTGGCGATCATTTCCCTAAATGGCAAAATAGTACTCCCTTATTCCCTTATTATTAGCTCATCAACTCTCAGAAAGATTCCTAGTAAATACACGTCGTTAACTACTGGTAAGCAGGGCAGGGGGTTGCACTGTCCCAGTTCTGCAACTGCCCATCTTCATACTGTCACTCCAAATATACCTTCCCGGAGGCAGAAGGGTCTAGGAGAGGGCAGAGGATAAAAACAATAGCTAACCATCACTGCGTTTTTGATATGTACCAGGTACCCTATAAAACAGTATTTGCCCAGTCCTCATACTAGCCCTGTGAGATAGACATCACTGTTACCACGCCACTCTGTAGAAGAGTGAGTGGAGTTTAGAGGATAAATCTTGTGTAAGGTTCTGTAGCCAGCCAGGGACAGAGCAGCTGCCTCCAAAACCACTGTAAATCCACTGCCTTAACCATCCTCCCACTCTCACACCTTCTGCAGAATCACCCAGTCTCTGTTGGATGAGAAATGGTGACTGCCCCCAGAGTGATCAATTAATCTACAAATACTTTCTTAACAAATTGTCACTATGGGTATACAGACGTCATCCTACAACAAGCAGCTGTACACTGTGCTTGGAGATATTCTCGTGTAAATGAGTGTGTTGGTGACCACCATGGTCTCTAAGAACTGCAAATCCAGAGCAACACACAGACTCAAGAGGCTCAGTACCACATGTACCCACTTGCTCCCAAGGGAGCTGCACAGCTAATAGGCCCCTGCTCCCACAAGGAGGCAGCCAAGCTGATCACACCTTCCATGGTTATCTCTGGTCCCCATGTGCCCCTCACAATAAAGACCCTGTGGCTGCCCAAAGTGGGCTCCTACACATGAGTGAGGTTGAGTTTTGGTGGCTCTCATCACTGGCCCAGCACAGCTCCTGGGGAGCCACATGGCAGCCACTACAGTGGAGGCTACTGCAAGGAATAGCTGTGCTGATACTTAGCTACTGCTTGGCCACTGCTACACCAAGAAACTCCCTCTTGCCAGGCACGGTAGTCCCAGCTACTTAGAAGGCAGTGTTGGCAGGACCACTTGAGTCAAGAGTTTGAGGCCAGCCTAAGCAACGTAGCAGGACCCCCTCTATCTCTGAAATTAAAAAGTAGGCTGGTGTGGTGGTACATGCCTGTAGCCCCAACTACTCAAGAGGCTGACATATGTGACCTCAGTCACATCAGGGTCACCACCTGCAGAGGTCTGTCCTGCAGACCCTGACTCAATGCTGGATGCATAAATGCACTCTCACACCCATCACAGTGATTCAAGTGGACTAGGGATGGTGGTCGGCTGCTGTCAGAGGGGGAATGCAGCTAATGGATCAAGACTCCCTCTGGATTCTCACATTTTTTCAGTGTAAATCTCATAAAAGAGGTTCTAAGTCAGCATGCTTGTGGATAATTCACATGGTTAAAAGAGTGGTTTTATGAATGATAAAAGCTTTTGGCTCCAGGAAGGCCCAGAGTAAAGACCATTACCGGGAAACTGTCCCCTTTGACCTCCCACTCAGAGGGCCAGCAGCACAAAGTTTACATGAGCAAACAAATTAGACAAAGGACTGGGGGGTAAACAGAAACCCGGGAAAACCTCTTATCATCCCTGTCTTTTTCCTGTGCTAACTTAATCAACTGGCTTCCTTCAGCCTGTCCCAGTAAAACCTTTCGGCCTTCCAAAAGGTGTCAGACTGTAATCTATAGCTTTCCTCAATATTTCCCTAATATTTTGCCAGCCACCCGGAGTGAATCTTAACAGATACAGGAGGACCACTTAAGCCCAAGAGTCCGAGACGGCAGTGAGCTGTGATCACACCACTGTACTCCAGCCTGGGCAACAGAATGAGACCCTACCTCTAACCAAAAGAAAAGATAAAGATAAAGAAACTTCCTCTTACTAAGGCAGCCCTGGCTCTCAGATGCTCAGGTGCTAAACCTGAAAGTATATGGTGTGAAGGAGGCTGCAGATAGTGGAAAGAATGCAAGTTTTAAAAACCCCAAATACGTGGCTGAGAGCTACTGCTCTGCCACTGAATGCAAGGGACTATGGGCTAACTAATTCTTGATTTCTCTAAGCCTCAGTTTCCTCATTATTTGAGTGGAGTTAATGTACTTGCCTTTAGGTCTCACATGAGGATGTAATGAGAAGGCTTATCAAGTGACCGGTTCAGTGCCTGATGTATAGTGTTTGTTTAGTAAGTATCAGAATGCTTTCTTCAAGAGCAGAGAGTTAATCTTTTTCTTAAAAATCACATCAAGCTCACACCATATTGAGTGTAATCTTTATGCAACATCTGTACTATGCGTGTGTCTGAAAGTAAATGTAGTAATATTAAACAAATCTGCCTAGAAAACTATTATAACTGTTCATTTTAAACATTTATATATTCAGTCATCCAGAAGCATTTAAATGGTTTTAGCCATCACCCAATTAGGAAGAGAAAAATTCACAGCCCTACAAAATGAAGTTATTTATGCTATTTTGTCATAGCCTACAAGTAAATGAATTATGCATAGGTTTATTAACAGTATGAAAACTTGTCCAAATCTATAACACTTTTTGTGTAATTTAATTTCCTATTCTAACGGCAACTTAAACATACAGTTTCCATTTAATTATTACAGTATGCAATCAGAGTTACTTTTTTCTTTTCTTCAAGTATTCTTTCTTGAGAATCTGAAACTCAGCTATAAACTATCTGGCAGAGGAAACAGATACCCAATTATAGTAGAGGTTCCAAAACCATCAGCCAAGTATCATAGCCCCTTTTACTCTCAATACAGCCTTTCATCCCAAGACTCACTTATTTATTTATCTTGAGATACAGTCTTGCTCTGTCATCCAGGCTGGAGTGCAGTGGCGCACTCTCAGCTCACTGCAACCTTTGCTTCCCAGGTTCAAGCAATTCTCCCGCCTCAGCCTCCCACGTAGCTGGGATTACAGGTACATGCCACCACACCCAGCTAATTTTTTTTGTATTTTTAGTAGAGATGGGGTTTCACCATGTTGACCAGGCTGGTCTTGAACTCCTGACCTCAGGTGATCTGCCCTCCTCGGCCTCCCAAATTGCTGGGATTTACAGGTGTGAGCCATTGCACCTAGCCAGTTTTAAAATTTTAAAAGCTTTAGCTGAGAGGATCAACCTTTCACAAGCAGTGAGCAAGCCTCCTAGAATGTTCTGAGATGCTGCTGAACTTGAAGGGACTGGAGTGGAACCTAATGAATGAGAAAGCCTGGCACTCAGCAGGCTCACTTTCTGCAACTCTCTGGGGTAAGCATTACTCACAAAGGGGTACCGCAGGGGAGATGCAGAAGCCCCACTCTGGAGTGTGTGTCATTCTAAGTCACTTCTCTTGATTATGAAAAGACAGAAAAGTTCTGAGTTATCAAATTTCTGATAAAGACACTTGAAAAGGGGTCACACTGGAACACTAAGAAACACTAATTAATTCAAATCACTACATAATGCGCATATTTGGTAGCTGACTCTTGCACATTCAATTATTAATAACTAATCTCTGGGCACTTTGTGAGTAAAAAAGGTAAACCAAACTTGGAGACAGGAAAGAATTTTTTTTGTAATTAGAAAATGTTAAATAGTTGAAATGCTTTTCTTTTCTGGGATTTTTTGTTTGTTTGTTTTAGATCGGCTCTTGTTAGGTTTCCCAGGCTGGCCTCAAACTCCTGGACTCAAGCCATCTTCCCACCCCAGCCTCCTCAATAGCTGGGATTACAAGTGTGTGTCACTGCACACAGCTAAATGTTTTTCTTTAAAAAAAAAAAAAAAAAAAGAGGGTGAGAGGGGAATAAGAGAAAAAAGTTGATTCATCTACAGTGTTAATAATGTGAAAATAAATACATTTTATATATATAAATATACAATATAAATTATATACACATAGTTCATATGTTTGTATTATACAATTACATAAATTATATATAGCTAGAGAGGGAAAAGGACAAAGAGGGAGGGTTTTTTTTCTGTAAGCCTTCCACATGTGACTTGTAACTCAAATACATAGATAGTCGTTGCTATTTGCAGGGAATAAGAGACGGAGGAGTTTTGCTATGTCACACACCTATACCAGTAAATAAAACAGTGTCACTGAGTGTCTCTTAGGAGCTACATACACATTAACACAAATACTTACCATACAGGTACGTATTATTTTCACCATTTTATGGATAAATAAATTAACTTTCTCAGGGTCTGATTTTATCTACTGCCTTGAAGCTTTCTAATGCTCAAAGCACTAAAACCTTCTATTATATAGTATGGTTCCCTCAAACAGCCATCCCAGAAGCAACAAATTGTGGCTTTATCTCAAAGTGGAAGAAATCAAGAAGCAGCCTAATTTTACAGGGTGCCCTATGGAAAAACTAGAGCCCATGACATACCCAACCGCTGTCCTGCCCCTTGTCACACACGCATATCAGTATATTCAAGAGGAATACCAAACCTTTGGGCCAAACAAACAAAAAGCCAAAAACAGCCTCCATTCACCCCCTCACTCTACCAAGATTGGAATTTATTCTATTTGTTCTGTTTCCTCGAGACTCTTACTCTATCACCCAGGCTAGAGTGCAGTAGGGCAGTATCAGCTCACTACAACCTCTGCCTCCTGAGTTCAAGCAATTCTCATATCTCAGCCTCCCAAGTAGCTGGGATTACAGACACCTGCCACCCTGCCCTGCTATTTTTTGTACTTTTAGTAGGGACGGGCTTTCAGCACATTGGCCAGGCTGTTCTCGAACTCCTCACCTCAAATGATCCTCCCGCCTTGGCCTCCCAAAGTGCTAGGATTACCGGCATGAGCCACCACACCTGCTCGAGATCAGGATATTCTTTAAATAGTTCCCTAGGCTCTTTCCAACCAGATCCAACCAACTCAACTTTTTTTCATTAGCATATAAACTCATTTCTAGTCCCATGAAACTGTGGCAAAAAATATATAGACCATAAAACATCAAATTTAAAATAATTTTGTGAGAGGT